ACACACACACACACACACACACACACACACACACACACACACAATTTTTGCCCAGTTTTGAAGAGGTTTAGGTTGACGCCCTGTTCAGCACTTATCAATTCCAAAACCAGCTGTGCACATTTCTTTTTATGTATGTGATATTTAATACTTGTTCGCAAGTGATCGCTGATGACAATGGTTTATTTAATAACTCATTTGATTAACCCACCACTTCATGCAGAACAGTCACTATGTGACAGAGAGACTAGTAAAGCAGATTGTAAAACGTCTGTAACCCTCACATCACCAGGAACAGTGTCTGTACTTGGTGCAATGCCACTCCCTCAGGTCTTGAGCACTGGGTATGAGGAGAAGAAACAGTCACACAATCAATATCAGTAATCCCTCCCCTGTTCCTCCCTCCATTCACTGAAAAGTAAAGGGGTCTCAGTGAGCTGTTGTTTGCTACAAAAATCATCACTTCTTGCATTCTCCATAAAACAGTGGATGGATTGACATTATAAAGAAGTGTATGAAGTCCATATGCCAGCGTTTGTAAGTCTATAAAGTCTATTTGTCAGTGCTTGCCATCGTTTTAAAATAATGTGCAAACAACGTAAGGATGATGTAAGAAAAATCTTTTTTGCTCAGCAAGTAGTTGGTGTAGGGAATGCATTGCCTGCAAATGTGTTGGAGGCAGGTTCAATTGAGGCATTGAAGATGGAGGGCATTGATGATTAATTGGATAGATGTGGTGTGCTGGGATATGGTAAAAAGGCAAGAGATAAAACCTGTACTAGCATGATGATCTGAATGGCAGTCTCCTGCACTGTAACTATTTGGTGAATCCATGCTGCAGGACTGGTTTGAGCTTCTGAAAGGCAGTCTGACGGGAATTGGCTCTTGCTTTGTGTGTAGTGAGTGGCTGCAGATTGAATACTGAGGGAGAACGCGTTGTGTGCTTGCTTTGCTAGGTCTGTAAGTATGACTATGTTGAGATTCACAGCGGCCTCTCCTCTGAATCCAAACTACACGGCAGATTCTGTGGCTCCGAGAAGCCCGACATCATCACATCACAGTTTAACAACATGAGGATCGAGTTCAAGTCTGACAACACGGTGTCCAAGAAAGGATTCAAAGGCCAGTTCTTCTCAGGTGAGTCTGGCTTTGATCTGAAGGCTCAGCACTGTGGGACCACTCAAACACATTAGCAGTTGAGCAGGAGGTGAGATGGCCAGAGTGGAGCAGGATCAGCAAAGACCCCTAGGAGCAACAGAAACCAAATTGGCTGCAATCAGCACCTTTGGCCTCTTTAGGAGGATGCTGGACTCCTCAACAACAGTAAAGACCTGGGAACTGTCCACCATGTTGGTTTCCTGCGTAACAGCCCACTATTGGTGTCCCAGGGCTGCCTGAAAGAGGCTGCAAGCCATCGTGAGGCCCCATTCCCGAAAATGGCCAGCCCTGAGTGTTGCCTGCCCTGTCTCTAACTGCTCAATTGGTCCTCAGAGGGACTGCTGTAGGCCGCTACCCAAAGTTACACTTTTAAAGATGTGCAAATCACCTCGCAACAGCCAGGAGAGAGTCATCACTCCCCACACTGCTCCCACTTGCTGCCCTGTTCCTCCGCTCCAAGTGCCCAACATGTATTCTGGAGATGGCCATGACAGTTATGACTGCTATGGCCAACTAACATTCCAACCAGACAAGTCAGATCCCAGAATGAATTCTGGCTTAAAAACAGAAGTTGCTGGCAAAGCCCAGCAGGTCTGGCAGCATCTGTGAAGAAAAAAATCAGAGTTAACATTTCTGGTCCGGTGACCCTTCCTCAGAACTGGACCCAAAAAGTTAACTCTGATTTTTTGCTTCACAGATCCTGCCAGACTCGCTGAGCTTTGCCAGCAACTTCTGTTTTTGTTCCTGATTTACACCATCCGCAGTTCTTTCACTTTTTATTTATGAATTCTGGCTTGTAGACTTTTTTTTATTAACTTCAATGAAACATATTTGCATGAGGTGACAGAGTTTCTTTACCAACAGAAGCTTATTGTACAAAAGGAGAAATAAAATAAAAGTCTTTAAAAAAAGTCTTAAAACGCACAGGAAATCAAAGCTTTCAATCTGTTTCCTGACATTATCCATTACAGAGAATCACCCAGAAAATTACCCCTCAATATCAAATCTTTAAGTTCTACTTAATTGATTCTTCACAGTTTGTGTCCTGTGAAGTGTGGAGGCTTCTTGCACAAATACTCACAAAGCCAAGAGCTTAGATTTACTCAGCTCCTAATAACCTGCAGACTTCTAACCAAACATGCCTGATTTGGAAGTGAGACAGACTAAACCTCTCACTTGAATTAACTGAGTTTTCCCTGACCTGCTCTAAAACAAATTCCTTTCCAGTACAGGAACTATGTTTGTGTTTGACCCCAGTCACGTCTACACTTCACTGCGCTGAATGTTTTCAATCTTTCTAAACCTGAAATCTACCCTTGATTATCTGGAACTGATACATGCTGCAGAATTCCCTGAATCTGTTGTAATTTACCACAGTAAACAATTTGCCATTAGCACTTCAGGGGTCCACAGTCACCTGCTCTCTAACACATTGTTTTTGGTCACTGTTCTGAGGGGACTGTCTGACATAGCTTCATTAAAACAGACCTGCTACAAACATGACCAATGCCCAAAAATCACTATTTTGAAACTGGAGCTGGAGGAACAGGCAGCATCAAAGGAGCAGGAAAGTCAACGTTTCGGCTCAGGACCCTTCATCAGAAATGAAGAAGGGTCCTGACCCAAAACGTCAGTTTTTCTGTTCCTTTGATGCTGCCTGGCCTGCTGCGTTCCTCCAGCTCTACACTGTGTTATCTCTGACTCCAGCATCTGCAGTTCTTGCTATCTCATTTTGAAATGCAAGTTCTAAAAATGATGTTTATAGACACAGCTCATCAGGATATGGGAAATGAGGCCCAAATTGTTTGGCTTCTTTGGATGCTACTGGTTTATGGGTGAGGGGGTGGGGGGCTGTGTGATTATCCTGGGGTGAGGGCTAGGTGACCATCCTGGGTAGGGGAGAGGTTCCTTCTTCACAGCCATAGCTTTGGCACTTGGCGATGTACCCTCTCTTGTGGTGTGTTAGCTGTTGGCCAACTCTGTAGTGTGTCTTGGTGAAGTGCAGTATGATCTCGTCTCGTTAACTCCAAGTGTTCAAACTATTGGCTTCCAGATAAGGACGAGTGCTCGGTGGATAATGGTGGCTGTCAACATGAGTGTCTGAACACACTCGGGAGTTACATCTGCCAGTGTCGTAATGGCTTCATGCTGCACGAGAATGGCCTCGACTGTAAAGAAGGTCAGTGAGCTTGTCTCTGTCTCCCACGTTCTGCTCAGTTACTGGGTGCAAGGCAGTGAATCCCACTGGTGAGGAGATGGTTTTCCCCCTTCCCCTTCTGATCCTCCAAGCCCCTGCTTGCATGAGGCTGGAACCCTGTCCTTACAAAACACGTAGTTCTCTGTAATTTTCTCAGAAAGAGCGAGTGTGCCTTTATAAAACCTCATCTCGTTCTCCTCACATTGCTCCGCCATTAAAGAAGGAGCCTGTTAAAGAGGGGACACTTCCAGTTGGATCACACCTTCTAACATTTAAAATATGGAGCAATTATTACGTTTTGAAACTGCTCCAAACACCATATTGGCCAATTAAAATGGCTGTCTGGATGCACCATCACATGTGCGTGCACACAGACAGAAACAGGCCACAGTGTGTGTCCGCCATGCATTGCTGACCTCACCATGTCTGTGCGCAGTGATGTCAGCACCGGTGCTGCCTTAGCCCCTCCTTTATTTCACATCCCTTTGTTTTTTAAAAGGGACGACCAATCCCAGGCCCACCACAGTCGTTCCGCCTCATGTCAGTTCGGTCTGAGCAGTGGCGGGGATAGATGCACCAGTTCATCCTTCACAGCATCTTATTATAATTCCTCTTTGAGGCTTACATTTCCTCGTTGCTGAATATTTCGGTTGTTTAACCTTAGAGGGCTGTAGAGACTGGGTCATTAATGATATTCGAGGCTGAGATAGACAGATTTTTAGTCAGGAAGGGAATCAAGGGTTATGAGGAAAAGGCAGGAAAGTGGTGTTGAGGATCCTCAGATCAGACATGATCTCATTGAATGGTGGAGAAGACTCGATGAGTTAAAAGACCTACTTCTGTTCCTACACCTTATGGTCTTAACTCATTCAGATTCTCAGTAAGAACTCTCTGCCATGTTGCTTCCTGTTTTATTTTTCTCAGGCACTAGACGCTACCCAGATAACTTGGCATAAAAGTCTTAGAGGCAATAAAACATCAAATGAACTGCAGCGGTTCTAGAAAGCAGCTCACCCACCATTTCCTCAAAGGAGTAACTAGGGAACAGGCAATAAATGTTGGCCTAGCCATCGACACCCATGTCCCACAAGTCTAGAAAAGAAATTGTCAAAGATAGTAGGAACTGCCGATGCTGGAAAATCTGAGATAACAAGGTGTAGAGCTGGATGAACACAGCAGGCCAAGCAACATCAGGGGAGCAGGAAAGCTGACGTTTCGGGCCTAGACCCTTCTTCAGAAAAAATGAAAATTTCTTCAGAAGGAAATTGTCAGGTTTGATTTCATTTGAAAAGCTTTTCCTAATTACAGTCATTATACAAAATGTCCATCATTTCCAAATGACGAGAACTTCCTATTTGTGTCGCCTAGAGGTAATTGAACTCAGTTGCAGCTTTTAAAATTCCCAAGGAGTTTCTCAGAGGGATAACAAAATAAGATGATGGTATTGGAAGGTGTAACCAAAGGTTAGTCTTGAGGAAGGCCCTCACAGGAGATGATGAACTGGGCGAAGTTTAGCAAGAGAATATTCCAGAATGTACGGCTCTAAAGGATCTGTGGACAGTTGGGAGCATAAGAGGGGACATGCCCAAGGCCCGAGTGGAGTGAGTATTGGGAGAGAATGTTCCAGAGATGAGAATGGGGATACCTCAAAGGGGGCACTCAAAGACAAGGAGGATGTTATTTAATTGTGAAATGTTTGGGATCCGGAGTCAGTGAGCTTAGGCGCAATGGGGAATGATCAGCAGTTTTGGGTGAGTCACTGCAGGAGAGTGAAGGATGGGTGTCGGACCAGGAGACGGTTAGAATGGATGAGGTTGGAGGTGGCAAAGCCTTGAGGAAGATTTCATAAGCAGAGGCGGGAATGTTTATGGAAGTGAATTCAGTGAAAGGAGCCAGTAATAATGATGATTTCAGTCTTGGTTGGTGGGGAATTAACAATTAGGTGTAATATTTACCACAGAAATAGATTGCTGAATTCAAATTTGTATTTTCACTGATTGGATGGTGTAGATTTTTACTTTTTCATGGGTATTGCTAACTGGGCTAGCATTTATTGCCCACCTCTAACTGCCCATGAGAAGGGTAATGTGGAGCTGACTTATTGAACAGCTGCAGTGAGCCAGATATTGGTCATTCACTGTCATCATGTGAGCGAACAACACCAGGCTGTGTGAACATCACTTCTTACAGTGCATAAAAGAGAGGACAGCTTAGCCAAATCCCACAATTCCATGTGATTTGATAACACGCTCCTTTGCACTTGCTTAGTAGCATATACTTTCATGGCTTCTATTTCTTAAATAGAGAGAATCTTGAAAGTGTTGAGCTTCAAAGGGACTTGGGTGTCCATGTTCATGAGTCACTGATGTTTGATGTGCATGTACAGCAAGCAATTCAGACAACATAGCAAATAGGAGTAGGCCATTCGACACCTTGGGCCTGCTCCACAATTCAATATGATCATGGCTGATCAACGAGCTTAATACCCTAATCCCAGCCTCCCTCCATATCCCTTGATCCCTTTAACCACAAGAGCTATATCTACCTCTATCTTGAAAACACTTACATTTTTTGGCCTCAACCACTTTCTGTGGGTAGTGAAGACACTTTGTTTGTTAGCCTTTATCCAAAGACAATTTAAATATAGGAACAAAAGTGCCTAACTGCAATTATATAGTGTCTCAGTAGGAGCATGCCTAGAATATTGCACAGTTTAAGTTTCCTAGGAAAAGATAAACTTGCCATAGAGAGTGTTCAGAGGAGGTCCACCACAGTAATCCCTGAGATGACTGGATCATCCTATGAGGAAAGATTAAGGAGATTGGATCTAAATTCTGAGTGGTTTTGAACAATGAGAGGTGTTCTTGTTAAAATTTCCAAAACTCTTATGCGGCTGGATAGAGCAGGTGCCAAGAGGGTGTTGTCCCTGGTTGGGTTTGTGTAGGGGTTGGGGAGTGGTGTTTAGATCCTGGGCCCATAATCTTGAAATAAGAGGCATGCCAATGAGGAGAGGGAGAGGAGGAATAGGGAAGGAGTGATTCTCTGGAAGTCTCTCCCCATGAGACTGTGCAGCCTCAATCATTGAGCAGGGTTTAAGATAGTTTTCGATTAAAGATATCAAGGGATACAGGAACCATACTGGAGGATGGTGTTGAGGTAGAATTTGACCCATTAATTGGTTGAATGACAGACCAGGCTCAAGTGACCAAGTGATCTACTCCTGCTCCTAGCGCATATGTTCTTATATTCTGAGAATAAAGGGCAGTTTTCCTTTTTGTGGACAGGGCTACAAATCCACACTAAATGGGCTGAAGACGCCTGTGTTGAACTCAACTCATAATCATTGTGCAGTGACTCAGTTCTATCTGTGTGCATGTCTGCCCAACTGTCTATGTATGTCTGTGTCTGTGATGTGCATGTCTGTACGTGTGTACGTGTCTGTGTACATACGTGTCTGTGTGAGTACATGTCTGTGTGAGTCTGTGTGCGTACATGTCTGTGTGAGTGTGTGCACGTGCATGTCTGTGTCTGAGCATGTCTGTGTGCACATCTCTCTGTGTATATGTACGTGTGTCTATTTCGCAGTGTCAACCTAGATTAGGTACTGAACTCCCTGCAGTGTGAATGCACACTTTGTGAAGTCCTTCTCGATCAGGTAGCTGCTGGCTGTGTACAAGATTGCAGAGATCTCAGAGACCAGGTTAGCAGTCCGGCTCAGTCTGTGTCTCTGCGCTAAAATGTTGAAGTTCTAAATTGAATTTAAATAAAATTCATGATTTTTCTACAAAGCTTTTCCACTGCTTCCCTTCCAGCTGGCTGTGAGCATAAAACAAGCAGTGCCGAGGGAGTGATTACCAGCCCGAACTGGCCTGACAAGTACCCCAGTCGTAAAGAGTGTACCTGGGTCATATCTGCCACCGCGGGTCATAGAGTCAAGCTGGTAAACATTTTCATTTTACACTGATCTGCTGTCCGACTCAAAATATGAACAGAGAGAAGGAATGTTCTTTTATTCATTTACTCATGGGACGTGGATGTTGCTGGCTGGACCAGTATTTATTGCCTATCCCTAGTTGCCCTTGAGATCAAAGAACAAAGAAAATTACAGCACAGGAACAGGCCCTTCGGCCCTCCAAGCCTGCGCCCATCCAGATCCTCTATCTAAACCTGTCATCTATTTTCCAAGGATCTGTATCCCTCTGCTCCCTGCCCATTCATGTATCTGTCTAGATACATCTTAAATGACGCTATCACGCCCACCTCTACCACCTCCACTGGCAACGCATTCCAGGCACCCACTGCCCTCTTGTGTAAAGAACTTCCCACGCATATCTCCCTTAAACTTTTCCCCTCTCACCTTGAAATCGTAACCCCTAGTAATCGAGTCCCCCACTCTGGGAAAAAGCTTCTTGCTATCCACCCTGTCTATACCTCTCATGATTTTGTAGACCTCAATCAGGTCCCCGCTCAACCTCCATCTTTCTAATGTAAATAATCCTAATCTACTCAACCTCTCTTCATAGCTAGCACCCTCCATACCAGGCAACATCCTGGTGAACCTCCTCTGCACCCTCTCCAAAGCATCCACATCCTTTTGGTAATGTGGCGACCAGAACTGTACGCAGTATTCCAAATGTGGTCGAACCAAAGTCCTATACAACTGCAATATGACCTGCCAACTCTTGTACTCAATATCCCGTCCGATAAATAAAAGCATGCTGTATGCCATCTTGACCACTCTATCCACCTGCGTTGCCACCTTCAGGGTACAATGGACCTGAACACCCAGATCTCTCTGTGCATCAATTTTCCCCAGGGCTTTTCCATTTACCGTATAGTTCACTCTTGAATTGGCTCTTCCAAAATGCATTACCTCGCATTTGCCTGGATTGAACTGCATCTGCCATTTCTCCGCCCAACTCTCCAATCTATCTATATTCTGCTGCATTCTCCGACAGTCACCTTCACTATCTGCTACTCCACCAATCTTAGTGTCATCTGCAAACTTGCTAATCAGACCATCTATACCTTCCTTCAGATCATTTATGTATATCAGAAACAACAGTGGTCCCAACACGGATCCCTGTGGAACACCATTGGTCATAGTCATCCATATTGAGAAACTCCCTTCCACTACAACCTTTTGTCTCCTGTTGCCCAGCCAGTTCTCTATTCATCTAGCTAGTACACCCTGGACCCCATGCGACTTCACTTTCTCCATCAGCCTACCATGGGGAACCTTATCAAACGCCTTACTGAAGTCCATGAATATGACATCTACCGCCCTTCCCTCATCTATCAACTTTGTCACTTCCTCAAAGAATTCTATCAAGTTGGTAAGACATGACCTTCCCTGCACAAAACCATGCTGCCTATCACTAATAAGCCCATTTTCTTCCAAATGTAAATAGATCCTATCCCTCGGTATCTTCTCCAGCAGCTTCCCCACCACTGACGTCAGGCTCACCGGTCTATAATTACCTGGATTATCTTTGCTACCCTTCTTAAACAAGGGGACAACATCAACAATTCTCCAGTCCTCCGGTAAGTCACCCGTGCTCAAGGATGCTGCAAAGATACCTGTTAAGGCCCCAGCTATTTCCTCTCTCGCTTCCCTCAGTAACCTGGGATAGATCCCATCCGGACCCTAATGCCTTTTAGGATACCCAACACTTCCCCCCTCCTTATGCTGACTTGAGAAGGTGGTGATGAGCTGTCTTCTTGAACCGCTGCAGTCCGCGTGCTGCGTGTAGACCCGCAATGTCCTCAGGGAGGTCACTCCGGGATTTTGATCCAGTGACAGTGAAGGAAGTCAGGATGGTGAGAGGTTTGGAGGGGATCTTGCAGATTGTGGTGTTCCCATGCATCTTCTGCCCTAGTTGTGGAAGATGCTGTCTAAGCATCTTTGGTGAATTTCTGCAGCACATCTTGTAGACGCTGCTGCTACTAAATGTCTCTGATGGAGGGAGTGGGATGTTGAACCATAGAATCTCTCAACAGTGTGGAAGCAGGCCATTTGGCCCATTGAGTCCCTCTGAATTGTATAAAACAGCTGGAGTATTGTGTTCTGTTCTGGGCAGCACACCCTTAGGAAGAATGCAAGAGCTTTGGAGAGGGTGTAGAAAGCTTCACAAGAACAGCATAGTTACCTGGAGAGCCTGGGATTGTCCTGCTCAGAGCTAACAAGGCTCACAGGAGATTAAATAAAGAGGTGTCAAATACAAGAATTTGCAGAGTCAATCTAGAGAACCAGTTTCCAGTGGCTGAAGGCTTGATCAAGTAACAAATTGAAAATGATTGGTAAAATAGCTGGAAATAAGGTGACCAAAATCTTTCTGTGCAGCAACTAGTTGCAAACTGGGATGAAGTGCCCAAGAGTGCAGTGGGTACAAATTGAATAGAAACCTTTAGAAGGAACTGGATAAATACATGGAGGAGAAAAATTTAGTCAGAAAATGGGAAGGATCAAGGGAGTGGGATGAGCTGAATGGTTCTTCAGTAGAGCTGATCGTGATGTAATCCCCTTCTGTGCTGTCCAATTATATCATGCAGGCATGATGGGCTGAACAGCTTCCTCTGTGTTTCAACAGTTCTGTGCTTCAGTCCCGGTTGGAGGTAATTAGGCAGCCTAAGTTGCTTTCTGTCCCGCCTAAAGCACCTGTATCCTGGCATATTAAGCTGTCAGTCCTGCCCCTCCCTGTTTCTGTAGTGGCTATAATATCCCAGTCCCACGTACCTAGCAATGCCCTGAGTTCATTGGCCTTACCTGTCAGCCCTCTTGCATTGAAATAGATGCAATTTAATCCAAAAGGCATTCCTTGCTCCCTGTCCTGTTTCAGCCTGACCTGTCACTTGAACTTGCTATTTCTGATTACAGCATCTCCTTCCAGCCTTGCACTTGCCTCCCTGCCAATCTAGTTTAAACCCTCCTTTGCAGCAGTTGCCAATCTGCCTGCCCGGATATTGGTTCCCCCTCCAGTTCAGGTGAAACCCATCCCTCCTGAACAGGTCACCTCTGCTCCAGAAGAGATCCCAATGATCCAGGAATCAGAATCCCTGCCCCCTGCACCAACTCTTTAGCCATGTAGTCATTTGCCATATTCTCCCGTTCTTACCCTCTCTAGCATGTGGCACTGGATGTAATCTGAAGAATACCACTGTCGTGGCCCTGGTTTTTAACAATTTTCCTAGCTCTCTATAAACACTCTCATCCCTATTCATCCCTATTTCTACCTATGTCATTTGTGCCAACGTGCACAATGACTTCTGGCTGCTCACCCTCCCCCTTGAGAATGTTCTGCAGCCATTCTGAGACATCCTGGACCCTGGCACCTGGGAAGCAACACACCATCCTGAATTCTCGTCTGCTGCCACAGAATCTTCTGTCAGTCCCCCCCTAACTATCAAGTGTCCTATCACTAAGGTCCTGTTTACCTCTACTCTTTCTTGCTGTGCCCCAGAGCCAGATGTACTGCCACTGACCTGGCTCCTGCTGTTTTCCCCTGAATAGTCATTCCCCCCAACAGTACTCCTTGATACCAGGCCCGTGGCAATCTGCTGCTCAGTGCAGGTGACTGCTTCCAGGCTCTAACGTATGCAGCAAAGTGATGCCTCTCCTTGTCAGTCACTCTCTGCTGGACCGATTGATCAGTCCTGTTGCTGTGCAGGTCACCTCTCTGTCAAATAAAGCAACTTAACAATTCCCAAGGCTTCGCCTTGTGTGGTTTTGACTCACCATCAGATAGATTGAAGGGAGGGTTGTGGGATCATGGTGGTAAGACATCACTCACAGGGATTATTACTGTCGCACCTGGAGTTCCTTTGATGAGATGTGGTGATGTACAGACCGACTACAGCACACGAGGGACGAGAGGGTCCACTAACAGGAGCAACAGCACCATCAAACGCTAAAAATACCTAGGGAGGACCCAAAATTACATCAGAGTTATAGAGCAGGAGTGTGGTGGTTGAGTCTATTAACTAGATGTACTACAGTTGGTGAGTTAACGTTGACCTCCAACTGGCTATTGGGCTTCATCTCCAATAGTGTTTTCCCTTGGGAAACACCCTGTTGGGCTTTTCCTGTTATTACATCACGCCATTGACCTGGGTGTTGGGACCTGGTGCTACTCAGAGTGAATGTTGGCCGCTTTTTCAATTTTGCATTTTCACAGGATGTGGGCATCATTGCCTGGGATTAATTTCCCTAATTGCCCAGAGAGCAGTTAAAGGTCAACCACATTGCTGTGGGTCTGGAGTACCGTGTAGGCAATAAATGCCGGCCAGCCAGTGACACCTATGGCCCACAAGTGAATAAAACAAAACATAAGGACAGCAGTTTCCTTCCCTAAAGAACATTAGTGAACCAGACGGGTTTTTCCCCTGACAATGTTCATCATTGGACTCTTAATCCCAGATTTTTATTTAATTCTAATTCCATCTGCCATGGAACCCCAGAACATTACCTGGGATTGGGATTAATAGTCTACTGATAATACCACTAGACCATGACCTCCCCATGTTGAATGGGATAAATATCTGTCTCTGTGGCTGTACACGCTCCACAGGAAATAAATTGGCATCTTCTCTGCAGCCAGCTCCTTGCCCAGACAATGGTGTTAAGTGGGCAAACCTGTTGGCAAGACCGTCTGGGAATTTGGGAAACATTCCTTGGCATTGTGGGAATGGACACTGTTTGAAAGGTTTCGGATCAGAAGGAATCCATTCTGTCCATGTACCAGATTGTATCGGATCACTTTTTACATCCTTGGTAGTGCTTAACATTTGGAACTTTTACCCAATAGGCCTTTGACAAGTTTGAAATCGAACAGCACCAGGAATGCATTTATGATCATCTGGAGATTTATGATGGAGCTGATGATGAGTCCCCAATTCTGGGGCGTTACTGTGGGAGCAGAAAACCCGAACCCGCCATTTCTACCAGCAGCAAAATGTTCATCAAGTTCTTCTCTGATGCTTCAGTCCAGAGAAAGGGCTTTCAGGCCAAATACAGCACAGGTGAGAGCAGTGACTACAACTTGCACAATTAGCTAATCTCAAAGAGTTTGCAAACCATCCTGCCCTTAAATAAAATCCCTATTCCTTACCATGTCTTTGCTCAATTGGTCATGGATCCTGCAGTCTGAGGGCCACCCCCAACTCCTGGAACTTCAACCAGTCTCCTGAGATTGTCAGGTTACCAGATCCTTTGTTCATGCGTGCTCACCCTCATTGTCTCATTCTAATCTTCTCTCTCAACAGCCAACTCCAGCGTCTGGTGCCACACCTTGGAAGTAAAAATCTGGTCCCAATTTGTACCCTTTATACTCACAGCCTCTGGTGCCAGGCTGCACAGTTGGTGTAAAGGCAGGCTCAGGCTGTTCTGAGCCAACTCAACCCAGCTGATAAATATCAGTCTGGTGAATGATGAGAGTTTCCCACACTACCACAACCTTGGATTGAATTGTACCAGCTCACAGCAATGGGTTTGAGCTGTGTTCAGGAACACACTCCCTAATGGATATGAACCATGTTTCCAAACTGCCCCAATCCAGCCCAAAGCCATGCCATGTTCTTCCAAAATTGGATCTTTCAGGATCGAATGGACACATCTTTAATCGGAGTTTGGGAGTATTTGATGTTTGAGTGGTAGGTGTTGTGTTGACGGTGCTAAACTCACCAGTCAGCGAAATGTGGAAGGGGTATGATTCCGGTTTGTATTTCCAGAGATCAGCATCAGAACTAAGTCTACCCATGAGTGTGCTTTAACCCAACAACTCATTGCGTTTCAGAATGTGGAGGACACCTTAGGGCTGAGGTACGAACCAAACACCTGTACTCGCACGCACAGTACGGGGACAATAACTACCCAGGACAGTCACACTGCGACTGGGTGATAGTGGCAGAGGACGGTTATGGGGTGGAACTGATCTTCCAGACATTTGAAATTGAGGAGGAGGCAGACTGTGGATATGATTACCTGGAGCTGTACGACGGTCACGAGAGTGTTGCTCCCAGACTCGGCAGATTCTGCGGATCAGGGGTAAGGGTCCAGCACTAACTGAGCATGACCAGAGCTGCTTGCTGTGTGTGGGGTTGGTCTCTGTGTTAGTGCTGGCACACACAGACAGGCACGTGCATGCACACTTACACACATGTACGTTCACACACACATACATTCACACACACATACACACACGTACATTCACACACAAGTACATCCACACACACGTACATTCACACACACGTACATCCACACACACATGCACACATATACATTCACACACACGTACATTCACACATATGTACGTTCACACACACATATGTTCACACACGTACATACATGCTCACATACGTACAGACTCATTCACACATACTCGTTCACACACACTCATCACACACGTGTTCATGCACATATGTTCACACACACACACACACACTACACACCCTGTTTTCATGCTGAGACACATATATACTGTGCTGTGTGCTAGTTGAAGTAGCAGCATATTTGCCTGTGATGCCTGACATGGCTGAATATCCTGAACACTGACATTAAAGTCATAGAGATGAAGTATCAAAGGAAACCAATGCTGCGATTGGTATCAGAATCCAGCAACAGCCATCACCTTCAGGAGAGTGTCAGAAGTCACACGACACCAGGTTATAGTCCAACAGGTTTATTTGAAATCACAAGTGTTTGGAACATTGCCCCTTCGACAGGTGAAGTGAAGAAAAGCACACAGACACAGAATTTATAGGCAGAGAGATCAATAGGCAGAGAGATCAAAAGATCATACAAATGGTGTGAATGGAGTTTTGACAGGCTGAATAATAAGTCTCTGCAGGTGATCAAAAGTGTCAGATGGTGTGAGTAAAGTGCCAACAGCTGAGTAACAAGTGAAGGGTCTTAAAATAATCTTACCACAACTAGACCCCTGGCTTGTGGAGGTTTCACTTTGGTTTGGTTGATTGAACTAACTATCTTCATTGTTCTTCCCTTTGCCCTAGCCCCCGGAGGAGATCTATTCTGCAGGGGACTCCATAATGATTCGATTCCACACTGACGACACCATCAATAGGAAAGGTTTTCATGCTCAATACACCAGCACGAAATTTCAAGATGAATTGCACACAAGGAAATAACCGAATAGGAGCCTTAACAAAGGACTGCATTGAGAACATTGTGTCTTGCTACCATCGTACCTTGGGCACAGGGGAGTTGGAACTGAAATCCACATTCGGTCTTGGTTGAAATTGACGGTGATTCAGGAACAGAAACAAACCCTCTCTGTATTCCGAGCAACTTTCTCAATGTTATGTGTCCCCATTCTTTCTGAAAACATTTTGTTTATCCAATCACTGTGGCCCAAAAGACACCAAAGTAAAACACTGTGGCTCCTTTCAATTAGCTTCCCACCCCTGCCTTTCCCAACTTCTTCATTCTTATTCCCACCATTCCATCCCCACATTCCCATTCCTACCTTTCCCATCCCAGTATCTAACAATTCCTTCCCCTGCTTTTAGGATGTGTTTCCACGCGAGCAGCACAATATTCGGAAGCACGGTGTTTCAATGTAATAGTGGTCATTTCATCACTATCTGCAGTTTAAATACTGGAAGAACACAACAGGTTGTGGAATTCTCACCATTACTACAGATGTACACTTGAAATTTTGAAAAAAACTGGGAATAGTTCTTTCAGCCCCTTGAAATGTTACATGAAGTGAGGGGTAGGGAGATTAACCACTGATCTTTGAACAAATTTGTTAACAATAAGCTTTTGAAACTCCTCAAACATTGAACGTAACGAGACTAGAAGGGCAATTAACAGGTGCTGTAATATCTAAGATTAGTTGGAGATGTTTTGCACGTCAGAAGCCTGCAACAAGTATCTGCAATGTGGTTATAACATTTCATTGAAAGAGAGGAAAAACGAGAAATATTATTTGAAAAATATACTTAAGATATATTCAGAAATGCAAAATGTCAAAAGGTCTAGCTGCTTGCATGTAAACTACTTGTGAATCTGCTCCGAGAGCTGTTTTTAATCCAACATATATATGCATGGAAGAAAAATCCTGAAAGCTAAGCCTTAATTCTAGTGAAATATTGTACAGTACTGTACATCAGAAGCTGTATTGGAAATATTTGGTAGCTGGTTGTAGATAAATCATATTCTGTTTATTATTTATTCCTAAGAAGGAACACAGTATGACAGAAGGGTGGTTGAGCTCTTGAACCAACTCATTACATTTTTGCATTGTATGTAAAGGAGTGAAATTCTTTCCAAACACACGCCACGTATTTAACACACTGCTTCAGAGCTGCCCTATAAGATTTTTATAAAAGCAGAATTTCCTTCAAGAACTACATCATCACCTCTCTAAAATATTCAAAACAAGTTCTCTACCTGTTTGATTCAATGGGCTGGCTATGGAGTGTAAGTGCCTAAAAGGTTTAACGCTTACCAAAAATGTATTGATTCTTGATTCATAGTTTCTCTTCTCTGGTGGACCTGAAATTTAAAAAAATGTTTTTTTCTTAAAATGTTTAGTAAAGATATGACGTAGACCATACATTGATGAATGCAGGGGTGAGGCAGAATGCACTCAGTGGGCTGAATGGCCTTTTCGTGCGAAAACGACTCTGACACCATGATTAAATTATTTAGGAGGGAATCCATTTTGATGTTTGTCCTTGTAATATCCCACCTTAACGTAACGATATAAAAAAATCACTGTCTGAAACCATATGGAGGAGGACTCATTGAAGACTAATGCAGGTCGTGCAGAGGTAGTTGTTGTGTGCAACTAAACTGAGTCTGCAGCTCACCACCCTCCCTAAGTGTAGGGATCTCCAGTGTCCATTTAGATTAGTGTAGGAGAGGTCTGGTTTCTGGTCTAACTACAAGTGGCTCTCGTATTGAACAAGTAGCAGTTTATTGCTTGTTAGCAACAAGTGGCAGGTTACAGTGATATGATAAACATTGTTACAGAAACGATATGGAGGACCTGGGTGTTCAGTCTCACTCCTTTGAGATCCTGCCCACTAGTCCATCTGAGATCATCCTAGGTGCTGCTTAAAACACTGCTGTGTATTAACCCTTTCAGACCTGTGTACCCCTTTCCACCAAAGCTGAATGTCCCAAGAGTGGTCTGCAGTAGCCTGTCCGTAATGTCTTTGTATAGATTCCAAGATGGTCAGGCAGTACCATTTTGGAAACCGTGAAGAGACAGAGACTATCTGACAGGGTGCAGCAACTTGGTTCTTGTATTTCAAAACCCACCATGGCAGTTGTTGGAAAAACCCACTTGGTTCACTAATGCCCTTTAGGGAATGAAACTTTCATCGTTACCTGGTCTTGCCTACATTGACTCCAGACCCACAGCACTGTGGTTGACTTTTAACTATCTTATGGTTAATTAGGGATGGGCAATAAATGCTGGCCCAGCCAGCAATGCCCTCATTCCGTGAATGATTAAAAATAATTACTAAGGACACAGCTCTAGAATGAATTCACTCCTCTCTCGGAAGCGATACTCCAATAAGTGTTGAACTTTGTTGAAACTTCACTCGAAATTCAGACTATTAGCTGAGTGCAGGTAGCCACACTGGAATGAAGGGACTTTTGTCTCCATCACTTCAGTGGTTTATGTAATTATTAACAGCAAACAACACTTGCCACATTTTTATAGCAACTTATCAGGGTTCCCAACCCCTCCACTCACAGGAAATAGCTCCTGTAGGTTATCACCACTGTAGATGCGATGCAGAGACGTGTACACACAGCAAGATCTCACAAAAGGTCGACATGGTGACTGACTACCTAGTTAGTCTGGTTTTGGTGGAGAGAGACAGCACAGAGTGCCTCCTTCTCAAACGGGATCTTTTATATCCACATGAACAAAGGAATGGCAAAGTAACTGAATGGATGGTCTTCATGGTGGAAGACACCAGCAGCATACCAGAACTTCAAGAGAGTCAGAGGGCACAGGTGAAAGTAGTTTCCATCACTCAGAAGAAGGTCCTGGGAAGCTGATAGGTCTGAAAGTGGATATTTCAGCTGGACTGACTGCTCCCAGTGTTCTGGAGGAGAAAGCTGAGGACATTGTAGAGGCATTGCTGGTGATCTTTCTCAAATCACTGGAGTCTAGGAGGGTCCCAGAGGATGCCAGCATCATTGGCTCCATCACCTATCCCTAATTGCTGTCACATAAATGTCAGACCAGTTAAGATTGGCAGTTTCCTTCCCTAAAGGACATTAGTGAACCAGTTTTTCCTGACAATGGTTTTGTGGTCATTATTAGACTTTAAATTCCAGATTTTTATTGAATTCAAATTCCACCATGTACTATGGTAGGATTTGAGCCCAAGTCCCCAGAACATCCACTAAGTTTCTAGATTAATAGTCTAACGATAGTACCACAGGGCCATAGCTGCCCTCTGCTGGAAGATGGCTAACGTAACACCCCTGGTTAAGAAGGTGGGGAAGCAGAATACAGGCAACTATATGTCAGTTATCCTGACCTCAGTCTTTGGTAAGATTTTAGAGTCCATTTTTAAGAATGTGATTAGAGAGTATTTGGAAGTACATGGTAGAAGAGGGCTGAGTCAGCATGGCTTTGTCAGGGGGAAGCCATGCCTGACAAATCAGTTAGAATTTTTGAAGAGGTAACAGGGAGGTTAGACACGACAGAGCCAGTGGGCATGATGTATTTGGATTTCCAGAAGGCCTTTGACAAGGTGCCATACAGGACACTGCTAAATAAGATCAGAGCCCAGGTGAGGGTCAGCGCCCATCTGTCTGAATGAAGAATTGAACCTCAGTCAGAACTCTCTGAATCATTGCCTCCAGTGTGTTTCATGATCCCCCGTCCCAGAATTTCACTTCCGGTTACTAAACAATGTTGCATTGCAGGCGAAACACATTGTTCAGAACGTCTCGCTGGAATCATTTCATATGCAAAGTATTTTAATGACGCCCATATAGAGAAATCTGTAGGGTTTAACTTCCTCATTGATTTACAATCTTGCGTTCCTCACAGATTCTTTGACCTTTGGGTTGAGCTGTGTTTCTAGCTGGTGACAAATGTTCATCGTTGAGCCACTGCAGCATCCAAAATTTGGGGATGGTAAGTTTGTGACATTTTCCTTGCTGCAGTATATTCAGAATATTGATTAGAGGAGACTGTGTTTTGAGAAGGGTTTAGATAGTAACAAAGCGAGATGTACTGAATAACAGGCTTGTCACCATCAATCAATTCATCAGATTCTGATACAGAATCTTTATTATAGAATCTATCATGTTTTGTGATTTTAAGCTGACTGCTTTCTTGCTTTAACTTTGCTGCTGTTAATTTTATCTTGGGTCCTTGGTGTAGAATGCTGTGGATTGTCCTCATTGTGAAGGGATTAGACCCAATTATTCTGGAAGAAACACATTTGGGCTAATTTTCATCTACTGACTGCCTCAGTTGATGCTGTGATTACAGCATTGGGCAGTATGAAATTACTGAAAAGCATCACCAATTTACTGCCAAGGTAGCCAAAATTCCCATCTCAAACAAGGGATCCTGTAATTAAAATCACAGCCCAGAAATAGACACTTCCAGCATTATTTAGAGGGACAACTTACCTACTCTCCCTGTGAACATTTGGCAGATATTTTTGGGTGTAGATTTATTTTAAACCTTGGCGGTAGGTTGGTGAGTCTGTGATGGAACTCGCTTTAATGACCTGGACAAGGTGCTGAAAGCGGATTCCTTTTGGCCTCTCCAGTCCTGCTGGTGAAGGGGGCTACAAGAAGCTGTAACAGCGACCACCAGAGAGGAGGAGGAGAGAGTATCCGACATGTTGCCGTGTGAAATTCTGACAGTGTCTCAGGAAGCTGTGGATCTTCAGGGAAGTGTCACAAACCTCTTACAACACATTTCAACATCTGGCCTAATGTGGTCAGTGTTCGTTGTCTCTGGCCTTTGCAGGGGTGTCAGCCTGTACTTGACTGACTAATGATTGATGCTGACAGTTTCCTAAGAGCCTGTAGTTTACACAGATTGGGGTACACATTGAGGGTAGGCTGAGGGTTCCGGTGCACCTCTCTTACAGCTTTACTGAGGAATACGAATTGATCTCTCACTGTGTACACTATAGGAGGGAGGACAAATAACTTGCATTTATAAAGTGCCTGTCACAACATACAACAACTTGCTGGTTCCTCAACAGTTCCAAATGTACAACCACTTCCATCTTGAAGGACGTGGCCAGCAGATACATGGGAACACCATCATCTGCAAGTTCCCCTCCAAGTCATGCACCATCCTGGCTTGGAAATATATCTCCATTCCTTCATTGTTGCTGGGTCAAAATTCTGGAATTCCCTCCCCAAGGGCATTGTGGGTCTAACTACAGCACATGTACTGCAGCGGTTCAAGAAGGCAGCTCAACCCCACCTTCTCAAGGACAGATCGGGACAGACAAGAAATGCTGGGCCCAGTCAGTGGCACCCACATCCCCTTAAATAACAGAAAAAACTCAGGGCTTTCCAAATCACTTCATAATCTATAAAGTGCTTCGAAAGTGTCCTTGTGATTGTAGAAAATATGGCAGCTGATTTTCACACAGCAAGATCCCATTAGCAACAATGTGACAGTGACCAGATAATCTGTTTGAGCTGAGGGAAATAAACCTGGTAGGATACAGGGAAAAGCACTCCAGCTTTCTTTGAGTAGTGTTGAGAGATTTTCTATTCTCCTAAATATGGACAGATTGGGTCAGTTTAATTTCACAACTGAAAGATGACATATCTGATAATGCAGAGATAGTAGGAACTGCCGGTGCTGGAGAATCTGAGATAACAAGGTGTAGAGCTGGATGAACGCAGCAGGCCAAGCAGCATCAGAGGAGCAGGAAAGCTGACATTTTGGGTCTAGACCCTTCATCAGAAAATCTTCAGAAATTTTCTGAAGAAGTGTCAAGGCCCGAAACGTCAGCTTTCCTGCTCCCTTGATGCTGCCTGCCCTGCTGTGTTCATCCAGCTCTATACCTTGTTATGTCTGATAATGCTCCTGGATGATGATGCTATCCACCGAACCAAGACTAATACCCCAAACATCTTTCACCACCTGAGTAGATCCAGTGGCTTCCTCAACTAGATCTCAAGGACAGATCCATATCCAGAGCAGACCAACATTGATCTCTCCATTACCTGATATTCCAGTAGTGACAAGAGCTCACTATAGAAAGGATTGAAATGTGCTGATCATTTTACTCAG